AAAACCTATTGGTCCGGCGTTGGCAGGCCTTACAGGGTTCTGTGCGGTGGGAGTCCCGGGCCAGTGCCGGGAATCTCTCTTGTTGTGCGAAGAGCGCCTCGACGGAGTGTGTGTCGCTGCTCCGTGGCCTTCCGCAGGGCTTGTTGGAGGCGGCGGAGCCACTTCTCTGCGTGACAGGTCAGCTGCAGCGGATGAATGGAGGACTCTCGGCCCTGTGCAGCGCGACTGTGAGGGCGCCGCCGGGTTTGCGGCGTTTGCTGTTGGAAGAGCGAGTTTGGCGGCGACGGGTGGTGGTGGAGCGGACGCGGGACTACGCGGTTTGCATTGTTGGTGGCTTCCTGCCACCTGTGCAGCGCCGCGGCCGCCTGCTGGGCGAGCGTGCGTTTGCCGCGCTGGGTCCATTGTCGTGACGTGCGTTTTGCGGTCGCACGGGCGGCTTTTGTTTTTTCGCTGGGGTTCTTTTTTTTTTCTCTCCTTTTTTTTTCTTGTGTCTGTTGCTCTGCTTTGCCTGCGTGGGTTGTGGGCTCACGTCAACAGCTTCTTCCCGTTGTTTGCCTGGCGCTGCGGTTTGGGCGTGCCACACACTTGAAGCGTGAGTATTGCTTCCGCGGAAGAACAGCAAGCGCAGAGGGAGGAGACGGGGTTGTCGCCGCAGGGGACACCAGCAACGGACAAATATACTTCCCCGCGGCGGGAGTGCGAGTGGGCAATTGCGTGGGTGCCTGATGGGGACGCTGCGCGAGAGGTGCATACTGGGGCAGGAGGTGCTGCTCGCCCAGCTGATTGGGGCCGGCGCGAACGGCCGCGTGTACCTTGCCGCCCCCGTGAGCCAGTCGGCAGTGACCAACCAGTTCCGCTACCCGTCGCGCTTTGTGGTGAAGGTGATGCAGAAGGACGTGTGCCCCGCCGGCCACGCCGCGACGATTCTGAAGGAAATCAATGCGGTCCGCACGCTGAAGCACCCCTTCATTGTGAGCTACGTGGGCGCTTGGGTGGAGGCGGGCTGCGGTGAGCACGGCGGGAGCGTGTGCCTTGCCATGACGTATTGCGACGGTGGCGACCTGCACGACCTGATCCGCGACTACCGGAAGAAGGACGAGTACGTCCCGAGGGACCTGGTGGTGATGATCATGCTGCAGATCTTCTCGGCGCTGAACCACAGCCACGCGCACCACATCATTCACCGCGACATCAAGCCGGCGAACCTTTTCCTCGTGCGTGACGAGACCGGCGGCGGCGGCGACGGTGACGGCTGCTGCTGCGGAGTGGCGAGGGCTCTTGTGGGCGACTACGGGCTGGCGCGCCCGCTGGAGCGTACGGTGGAGCTGGCCAGGACGCGCGTCGGCACGCCGTGCTACTGCTCGCCGGAGATTGTGGCTGGTGAGGCGTACACCGCCAGGACGGACATTTTCTCCGCCGGTGTGACGTTTTTCGAGCTGATGACGAAGCAGCGGCCGTTCTGGGAGAAGAACTTCACGGAGCGGCAGTCGTTCCACGCGATACTGCACTCCGACCCGATGCCCCGGCTGCGCCGTGTGGCGGAGGGGCGCTACGACAGCTGCCTTGTGCGGTTGGTGGGGTCGTGTCTTTGCAAGGAGGAGAAGGGGCGGCCGACGGCGTACGATGTGCTGACTGGCTTCTCCACGCGCCTCACGAGCTACGTGCGGGCGAGGGGCATCCCCGTCTGCGGCGAGGCTGCGAGGGTGTCGCCGACGCGGGTCGAGGGCAACTCCCCGCCGCGCCGCATGTCTCCCATCTCGCCGGTGCGGCGGACGCCGTCGCGGCCGCACGCGCCGTCGCGGCCACGGAAAGGGTCGCCGGAGCCGGCTGCGGCGCCGCGCGCCCCGCTGGTCGTCCCCGCTGCCGTGGCGGAGGATGCTGCGGCCGGGCCCAATGGCGTGTCCGTGGAGCAGCTGCTGCACGTGCTGGACCGGGGCCTCGGCGACAAGGCAGAGGCCGAGAGCCTAAAGCAGCTCCTTGGCGGCGACGTTGAGGCCCTCTTGCTTGTGCGGGTGCTTTTGCTGACGCGCGGCAACAACAGAGACGCACTTGAAAATGGCATCTTCAAAGTGCTGCTGTCGTTGAAGCCGAACATTTCTGCGGAGCAGGTCGTCCTGTGGATGTCGGGGCGCGGCTGCGGTGTGTAGGCGGTGCTTTGCTTTGTCTTAAGCTCGCCGCCGTTCCGGCGTGCCCGCGCCGTGCTTGGGTGTGCATTTGCCTTTTGTTTTTGTCTTTGTTTGCCCCTTCACAGTAGTTTTTGCTGTTTTTTTTTTAATGCAGTCTTCTTTCTCCTTTCGGGTGCTTGTTTGTTCGTGCTTTGATTCCCCCTCGCCTCTCTCGTGGCTTCCCCCACCCACCCCCTCCCTCCCCTTTGGGCGGCGGCGCCTTGCCGCCGGGCTGTCACTGCCCGGGCTGCGCTTGCTGATATTTGTTGTGTAAGCTTTCCTCACAGTGCGCCGTGTGGGCCGTGGATCGCCACCTTCTCCTCTCTGCGCCTGTCACGGTGCGGCTGTTGCCACCGCCTCGTCTCTGTCTCTGACCGAAGACTCAACGTCAATTACTCCCTGAGAGCAGCTCACGGTGGCTGCGATTTATGCCATGTGCGCCGGAGTTGTGTGCTGCTGTGCCTGCGTTTTTGTGTCCATTATGCTGCCTTTTATTATTTGTGTGTTGGTACGCATCGCTTTGTCATGTCTTTTTTTTTGCTGTTCTTTGAATTTCTATTTTGAGGTGGTTTTCGGTTTTGTTTACCCTTCTGCCGAGATGATTCTTATGGGGTTGCTTGTGTACAGTGTTTTGCGCCGTGTTGATTGTGTGTGTGTCTGTGTGTGCGTGGGTTCCTGTGTAATATGTGTTCCTGATGCTTGGCTGTGCGTGAAATGTCTGCTTTTCTTCGCTGGCCGCTTCCTCGGTTTTTGGTGTCTTGCTAGGTGTGCGTGCGTGCGCGACGGCAGGGGATGCCTCCGTGGCGTTCATGCTGCTGCGTGCCACTTGCCGGTGGAACCGGGCGGCGACACGCCAGTGGGGCCGCGAAGCCGTTGCCGGTGCCCATGATCGGCGTTGTGCATAGAGTGTTTCCTGAGCGGGGGTACGGATTCCTTCTGGCAGTGCCACCGCCTACGTCGCTGGCACGGATGCTGCGGCAGCCAGCGATGCCGGCTACGAAGGAAGGCGCGGA